GAGGATGCAAACAAAGGGGAAACTTATACTTAACATCAGGAAGAAGCAGCTGAAGTTCCTGGGACATATAGTGACGAAGGAGAGCCTGGAGAATCTGATACTCACGGGTCGAATAGAAGGAAAGATAAACAAGGGAAAACAACGCATGACACACCTAGCGGGCTTAAACAAGTGGATGACAGAACGTCGTCTGGGAGAGGTGGCAGAGGGAAGTAACTTGTTGAGAGCTTCAAAGGATAGAGCGAAGTGGAGAGGCATGATCGCTTACGTCCTGAAAGGACACGGCACATAGAAAGAAAGAAGTCAGAGGTCTTCACAATCATCTTCAAGACTAAAATAGCACTCCTGAGTTCTTTTAGGGTACTTCCCAAATTGTAGCCATTCCATATCAAACCGTGTCTTTCCTAACCACCATCTACATCTATAACTTTTAATTATTTTCATATTACCTCCCCTGTTCTCTAACGGCCATTTTAGAAATGGACAGTGATAATATTGCTTTTTCGATTCTTTTATGTGAAATACATTTTACTGGTTGCTGTCTCAAAACTCAAAAGTATTGTGTTTTCTGGTTTGGGGTCGTTAATTTCTGTTTAAACATTACTTTTATACCATTTCCTCATTCTTGTACATGAAATCTACCCAGGGTTCTTTGTTAGTCGTTTTGAATTGTTTTTAGCTTTGTACCTTTTGACTTCTTTCTTTCTTTCTTTCTTTCTTTCTTTCTTTCTTTCTTTCTTTCTTTCTTCATATTAAGAAAGAATTAATATGAAGAAAGTAAGAAAAGACAGAAAAATTCTTCTTTCTTTCGTTTCCATTTTGCAGTTTACCTTTAGTTTATTCATTATTTATTCCATTCCTTTCTTTATTTTTGTTCTTTTTCATTCTCCTTTCCTTCTTTCTCTCCTCGTTTCCTCCGCTCATGTTATTCCTTTGGTGCTAATTTCAGTTCTTTTCCTCTTTTATATATTTTCTTTCTTTCTTTCTTTCTTTCTTTCTTTCTTTCTTTCTTTGCTTCATTCAGTCTTTCATTTTTCATTTTATTTCACTTTTCTTCGCTTATTGATATTCAAATTCGTCCACTGAATATATTTCCTTTGTCAAATCACTTCTTTCTTTCTTTCATTCTTTCTTTCTTTTTTCCAGGCTATTTGTCTCTTTTTCAATTCCTTCCTTCCTTTCTTCCTACACCAACATTTCTCCAGTCTTTTTCCCTACATATCTCCTACCTGTTCATCCAGACTAACCATTCGTGCATCCTCATGACCAGCCTCTAATCTGTATGACCTTGTCTCTGCCCGGACGGCCATCAATATTTATCATATTCTGATTGATTGTCCACTTCATTGTACTCACGTTTGGCCTTTTGTATTCACACACGTCCACAGAACACACGCACACGCCTAAACACAAATATCCACACGCAATATATATATATATATATATATATATATATATATATATATATATGCATGCTATATGCGGTGCTGAAAACTACTTGGCCATACTAAAAAAGGAATATTTTTTAAAAATATGACGTTTAGTCGGTCATTTAGTCGGATTTTGGGAAGTAGGTTGGGAGTGGAATTTTCAGCACTTCCTCATGATTTTTATAAAACCACACGGGCATTTTAACCGCCTCTGCGCATGCGTAAAATATCTCGCAGTTTTTGGTGTGTGTGTGGGAGGGGGGAATAGAACGTACAGAAACAGATATATAAACCCATAACCATTGTGTTCCGATTGTGTGAATTCTTCTCTGCAAGGTAAAAGCGTTTTAAATCCAGTCATAAGCAAATAATATACAGGATGTCCTTAAGGTTCGTGTGCTTTATTTGTATTTGCGATAGAAATAATTTGTAAGAAGGATTAGAAATAAGTAAAACTATATTTTTTAAGGTTTTATTGAAATTTTATTTAAGTTTTCCACATGTCCTCCATCATTAGCAATACAAAGGGTAATACGATTTTGCAGTTCACGGAAAATATTTGCCAACTGATTTAGAGTAATGCCTGAAATCACATTAGTTATTTTAGCTATACTTAAAAGTGGGTACATTAAACTTTATAACATTTTTTTTACAGATTATTTCTATTGCAAATACAAATAAAGTTATAAATTTTTTAAAGTGCATACGAACTTTAGGGACACCCTGTATATCTCTGATGTTCATTTGGCGAATTTAACCTCGACATTTTCCATCAATGAATATTTAAAATAAATCCTCTGACATTCAATACACATACTAAAATATTGTGTTAGCCCCAAATGCAGATTATGTGATAGATATCCAGAAACAATCGATCATCTTTTATCAGGTTGCACGGTATTGGCACCCACTGAATATAAAACTCTGCAGGACAGAGTGGGCCAATATCTGCACGAGAAAATCTGCATCTTCTACGAGAAGGAAAATGAAAGAAATTGGTATGAACGCCACCCAGACACAGTAGCGGAGATAGGACCTGTTAAAATTGTATGAGACTATACAATACACATAGACAGGGCAATCAAATCTGGCCGCCAAGACATTGTTATTAGAGACTGCAAACAAAAAAAAGTGCCTCCTTAATGATATGGCAGTCCCTGCAGGCTGCAATGTATCTTTGAAGATCTTCAAAAAGTTATCAAAATACAAAGACCTTGAAATCGAAATCTCAAAAATGTGGCATATGGGAACATTAACAATCCCTGTTGTAGTTGGAGCCCTCGGATTGGTTGGAAAAGATTTCAGTAGACTCATTGAAGGGATTCCTGGAAGCTCATGCCTTATAGAAATACAAAATATTGCTCTCACGAGTACAGCTCACACCTTACGAAGGGATTTATCTATGTAAAATATGTATTTTTTTAATTGTTCAGTGGAAAATGTCATGATGACATTTCTAACCTTAGGTCTCTGGACAGGACCCGGAAAGAAATATGTACACACCAGAAATCAAAGGAAATAAACTAATAATAATAATACCAGATGAACAGGTCTGGTCGTAGTGTAGGGTCGCTCCTCTATTGATCCACTGAGAAGTTCCTTCCAAATATCTGGATTGAAAACTGGAGACGTATCCATTCATGTATGGCGTGTTTTTGGCAAGTAGACCGGGCGAAGCTTATACCTCTCCAGGCAAAACCACAGACGATGTACTCTAACTTAAATGTTCGGCTTAGTCACGGATACATCGCCATTTATTGCATAAGGGAAAGACCTCCTCGCCTTGGCAGCTGACTTCAATCGAGGAAGCCGTATTCCCAACGATGCTCTATCAATATCGCACTAGCGCCATCCATAGCTATGGAATCCAGTTTACCCTAATGTGCTAGATGGCTGGTGACTCTACAAGATGTTTCATCCGTCTTTTGACAGGTCTTTAAAATCCTGCTGTGTGTTTAACCACTCTGCTTACCAGGAATGTCTGGTGGTGGAGCCGGTTTAGTTGCCGATAATCCCATGCGGAAGGTCGTAATGGGTTACCTTGTACATTACTCAGAGAGTGGCATGATATAAAAATTTAAAACTAGCATAAAATATAGCATTATCAAATAATATTTTTTAATTTATTGGAATTCTGAGAAGAAACGTTATCAATTGTTGATTAATTTTTTGTTCTTCAGTGTAAGAAATGAGAGAATTAAGCACATGATAAAGTTTTGCTAGGGGTACTTTTGCCAAACAGCTTACGATATTACAAAAACAAGATCTGTGATTAAAACTGGTTTCTAGTGAATGATTCATTTAAGCACTTAAAGAAATCAATACTTTTTCAGTCCCTACAGACTGGCACTCTCGCAAATAAAAATCTATGTCTATATTTCTGAGATGAGCTATTATGTACACTATTTACATTATTCGGATGATTGTCCTGATCTTTGTCACCATATTTATTACAACGTTTCGGCCTTTCAGTATCTGTCTATATTTCTGAGATGAGGTATTATATACACTATTTACATTATTCGGGCTATTGTCCTCATCTTTGCCGCCATATTTATCACAACGTCTCGGCCGTTGTACTCTCCGGCCTTCTTCAGGTGGTTGGAACGTCGAACTGAACCCTTTATTTCGCTCGCTGGGGCAGAATGTTCTAGTTCCACATGCCATGTCTAATGGATGTCAGTTATCAGTTAGCTCCTGTTAATACCCCTCTCCAAGTTCTCCACTGTCTTAACCAGGTATTGAACTCACACTGTTATGGTCCTCAAGGACACATGGCACAGTGGATAAAAGCGTTAGTTAGATCCAGTCACAGGCCCCAAAGAGTGTGAGTTCAATACCCGGTTATGGCAGTGGAGAATTTGGAGAGGAGAATTAAGCAGGAGATAACTGATAACTGACATCCATCAAACATGGCACGTGGAACTAGAACAGTCTACCCCAGTGAGTGAAATAAAGGGTTCAGTTCGACATTCCAACCACCTAAAGAAGGCCGGAGAGTACAACGGCCGAAATGTTGTAATAAATATGGCGACAAAGAGGAAGACAATTGTCCGAATAATGTAAATAGTGTAAATAAAAATCTTCACCAAATAATGAAGACCACACCACGTTTAACAGTGGCTATTTCAATTGCTTGATTTACACTTGTACACTTAACACTAACATTATGTTAAATTTTTATTGGATTAATCATTGTCAACCATAATTAATTTTTGACATTAGTTCCTTCATATTTATTTTAGTTGTTTTTTTTCATTTGTAACTTACTCATATCGACAATAAATTAACAACATAGAGAAATTAATAAAAATATCGATGTATCTTTGTTTTTATCGTATATTTTCCACCGGTGATCCTTCCTGTTACTTTTATTGCCTGTGACATTCTGTTATCCTCGGGGATAATATGTAAAAGCCTTTATCTGAGATCTTTGAGGATTTCTGAACTGGCCAAAAATTAAATTAAGGCTTCTTTCCAGAATTCTATGAAGACCGTGAAATACAACAATCACATTTGTCTTAATATGGTGTCAAGATAAAACAATAGAGACAAGGTTATTAATCTAAGATGTTACTTCTCTCTTCTGTTTGTTTATTTCTCTTTCTCTCTCTCCCTTTCTTTCTCTCACTCTTTATTTTTTCACTCTATTTCTTTCTTTTTCTCTCTCTCTCACACTCACTCTGTCTTTCTCTTTCTCTCTTTCTTTTTATCTCTCACTCTCTCTTTCTTTCTCTCTTTCCCCCTCTCATTCACTCTCTTTTCATCACTCTCTCTCACGCCTCTCTTTCTCTCTCTCTCAATGTCCCTTTCTTCCTCTCTCTCTCTCTCTTAACTCGTCTTGAACTTTGACCTCTTTCACCGATGGAAAATAGGCATATAGCAAATGGGAATTCGGCATATGATAAAATCACGATGAAAACACGCCAGATCGCTTTAGTTAAGCAATGATAAATCTGCTCATTACATAGATGAGTAACTATTGGCATGAAGCAAGCAATGTTAAGTCGGCGTAATGGTTATCGTCACGGAAAATGTAATTGGGTAGTCGAGTTTCAAATTCCGGCCTAGTTTGCGTTTTTTTTTTTTTTTTTTTTTTTTTTTTAGAAAAAACACTAGTTCTTCTAGCTAGGGGAGAAAATGTAGGGTATATTTTAGCCATGGTAGGGCAATTCAAGATCACCCTGAAGAGGTTTTGACTTGAGGATCTAGGCCTAGACACACCTTTTGTCTCAGTGATCTGAAAATGTTACGGAATGAAAGCATACATGCAACTTGTTTGTTTTGTTGTCCTACAAAGAAAAGTTTAGTAATAAATTTTCATGCAATAGTGTTTGCTTGGCACTTAAAAATTATTAAGAAGAAAATCTTTTCTTTTTTTCTAACAAAATTCTATCAAGAATAGGATTGTTTTGAAAACAAAGCATTTTCCTAGGATGTGCTTATTTTAAATGTCACCGGGTATAATAATTTCAAGTCTGTCAAAATTCAAAACACCTGTTTATTTTTTCACTTCCGTAGGCGGTCTTCATATTGAAAGGTCACTGGGAGGTAATGAGTTCAAAGACTGTCAAAATTCACAGCACCTGCATAAGTTGCATTTGACGTATTTACGGCATCCTGGCTGCCTTCAGACTTAAAAGTCATATGCCAGGTGCAATCGTATAGGGAATCATTTTTGATTCATCCCCTCGGATTTAAATAACAATAGGTCGGCCTCTAAGAATTTAATAAGTAAAAGCAGTGCCGAATTAGGGATTAAAAGGGGTTTGTTCGCTATTTCTGTAAATTATAACACGGACAATAATTGGTTGACCAATGAGAATATGACACGAAATGGACTGTAATTGGATCACCAATTTCAAGCCTTTTCAGTCAGAAATGTCGACCATAAAGGCTGAAGCAATGAGTTCTTAACAAGTAGACCAGAGACGTAAAGTAATTTTGAGTAATTTCACATCTACTTATCATCTCTCAGTTGCGTCTCTGTCTTTGGGCCGAGTGCGCTCAGGGGCTTCTTTGTCAAAGGACAGATGGGCAACTGAAAAAGTAATACTGAGAGGTGCCCAGCCCTAGGGAACATCTACCCGAGGCCGCGCCCTCCCATTGCACCAGAGGCAGGGATTGGTCTCGCACCGAGGCCATTGCAACTGACGGTTGCGCGGGCTGTGAGCAATTTTTGTCCTTTGCCCGGGTGCACGCGCTCGGACCCCCACTTTAAAAATACCTTGTGTCACATCTCATCCTCGTGGGGGAACGAGTAAACACCGTAGACCGGAGACGAAAACACCAGAAGCATATCTTCCACTCTGATACAAACAACTCTACCCTGACCGTAAGACGCTTCGGCCGAATTGTCTCATGTCCCATCTGTAGATCTTTCAAGCACAACGTGGGTGTAGAAGGAGTTGGCAGAACAACTAGTCGCAGACTCATGTGGCCGTCACGGAACTAAGACCTCACCTTGTGCGGTGACTTGCATAGGGCCACACTTATTGCAATTCGACGTATAAGTCGCATTATATATACTTACAGCATCCTGGCTGCCTTCAGAATTAAAGGTCAATAAGTATGTAAAATAAAAACAGTGACTAATCAGGGAATTAAGAAGGGGTTTTCCGCCACTTCTGCAAATTATAACCCGATCTATGTTTGGTTGACCAATGGGAATATGACACGAAATGGACTGTAATTGGATTACCAATTATAAGCCTTTTCGGTCCGAAATTACGGCTATAAAGCGGAAGCAGCGAGTTCTACAACAAGTAGACAGGAGACAAAAACTAAAGAAGCTGATCTTCCCCACCTGACACCAGATGCTCTCCAGCCAGAAAACATTGTGAAAACCCGGCTCATTGAAGAAAATCGAAGACTCTCAACCAACTACTCAAATTGCGATAACCACATGCAGATTAGTCCAAGGTCTGTACTACCAAAAAAAAAAAAAAAAAAAAAACTCCTTATCGTGTCTTGGCGACATTAACGCCGATTGAAAAGAACTATCTTCTTTCAAAATCCAACTGGCAGAAATTAATATTTTCTATTTTTTATGTACTGCTTCACAGTCGTGTTGCAATAAATATTTTTGTTATTTGTTAACGGAAAGTTGCTTGATTCTGTAAGTTGCTGACTCTTGAAGTTGCTGACCCTTCTGGCAACTTGTACTGTCCTGACCATCAGAAGATGTCCCGGCCATTGTCTCACATCCCTCCTGTGGATCTTCCAAGCCCAGCTTGAACATGGAAGGAGCTGTCAGAACAACTCGTCGGAAACGCATGTAGTCGTAACGGCACTAAGACCACACATATTGCCTTGACGAGCAAAAGACCACGCGCTTAGTCTTTTGAAATGTCATTCATTAGCTATTTTTTTTTTACTTTGAGATCTCTTCAATTTTAGGATTATTAATCATTCTTTTAATTTGATTTCCCATTTTTGTGCTTCTGTTTGACTCGTTTATTACTTATTTTCTTTCAGTGCTATTCCTTCAGGAGATTGGGAGGTTTTGAGAAGCGTTTAACCACGTCTAAATTGTTGTTGCCCCCAGATCCACCCTCACTCGGCGTGGTATTAATTAGGGTCCCAGCTATGAATAAATAGTGACACTCCCCCACACTACCTAATACTGTATTCCAAAGTTTCAGTAAAATTGCAACATAAAACATATATATCACCGCCTCTAGTAATTGTCTATACAAATATGTATATGCACAAAAGCTGAATATCATCTACCATGTATTCAATTGTGAAAGCAAAATAACATATCATATTTTTATTACTTCAAAGCTTTCAAGAATATTAAATTTCGGCATTAAATGACCCATAAACAAACAAAGCAAACTTATGAGTATAGCGCGCAGCAGAATCAAACACGAAATAGGACAATGGCAGTTGGGTTCATTACAAACACTGGAACAAGGAATGTAATATTTATGCTCATAATGATATAAGAAATTTTAATACAAATGCAAAAGGATGTATACCTATGTTTTATAGATTATGCAAAGCATTTAACAAGTTACGTCACCAAGAATTGTTTGAACTGCTAGGTAACCTTGACATATTTGGGAAAGATATTAGAATAATCCAGAATCTATACTGGGAGTAAATTATTCAATAAATATGCAAAAATAGGAAGGAGTGCAAGACAAGTGTTTGTATTCTCACTGGAATTATTCAGCCAATACGGTGAGGCGATTCTGAGAGAATTATATTCCTACCAGGATTCAATCTTGGTGGCCACAAAGAAATGAAGATGACACAATGTTGATAGTAGACAAGAAAGGAAACTACAACAGCTCCTACAGAAGGTAGTGAAGGAAAGTGAGAAGAAAGGACTAAACATCAATTGTAAGAAGACACAATGCATGGTTTTCAGCAAAAGAAACAGCCTAATATGCAAATTACAAATTAGATATACCGAAATCAAACAAGTACAACAATTTATATATCTGGGATGAACAGTATGACACTGAAATCCAAAGGGTCATTGGGATAGCGAAAGATGCCTTACAAAAGCTAAGCAATGTAATAAAGAACAGGAAAATATCGTTAGAAACAAAGAAATGAGTAATGATCTGTTGCATGATATCCCTTTTCCTATATGACATTGAATGCTAAACAATCTCCCTACAGATGAAGAAGAGACTTGAAGCAACAGAAATGTAGTTCTACAGGAGGATGCTGAGAATACCATGAATCGAAAATGTAGGGAACGATGAACTTTTAGGGAAAATGGAAACAAAATGTCCACTTAAAATTAATATGAGGAAGAGACAGTTGAAATTTCTAGGGCTTATAATGAGAAATAGGCTCTTGGAAAATTTGATACTCACAGGACAGATTAAAGGTAAGAAGGGAAAAGGAAAACAACGCATAATTTACCTAGTGAGCTAGGATGGCAGAATAGAGTTTAGGAGAGATAAAAAAGTACAATTTATTCAGAGCTAAAAAGCACAGGAAATTGTGGAGAGCCATTGTCGCACAAAGAAGATTCTTTTCAGATTATATTTTTCTTCTTTTGTATTTTTTCTCTTCTTTCGTTTTGCTGTCCGCATTTTTCCTACATTACTTCTTCTTTCTTGTTTGTTTTCCTTTCTCGTCATTTTTTCATTTTGACTTATTTTTTTCCGTCGTATTTTGTCTTTGAACTTTTCATCCTTTTTGTTCATCAAATTCTTTCTTTCTTCTTTATTATTTCTTTCCACAAATCGTTTTTTACTTTCTTTTTTTTTTCCAATTTTTACTTTCTACTTTTATAGCTTCTTTCCGTCGTCCCATTTTCACTTTCCTTTTTTCCTTTCTTTTTTTTCACTCTTTCGTATCTTCCCCCCCTTCTATCCACAGAACTTTCCTTCTTCCCTGACATTTTTCGTTCTCTGATTCTTCCTTCCTTCGTTCCATATTCTTTCTTTTATACTTCTTTTATTCATTAGATTTTTCCCCATTTGTTATTTCGTACCATATTTAATTTCTTCGTTTCTTTTTCTTTTCTTCCTTTCCATGTTTTCTTCTTTTATTCTTTCCTGTGTTCCATTTACTTGTTATTTCCTTTCCGTCTTCTTTCCTTCGTTCTATTTTTCCTATTTTACCCTACCTTTTTTCTTGTTTTTTCATACTTCCTTTAATTCTTTCTTTCCTTCCTTCATTCTTTCCTTCATTCCTTCATTCTTCATTCATTCTTTCTTTCATTCCTTTATTCCCATTCATTCTTTCCTTCATTTCTTCATTCATTCTTTTCTTCCATTATTCTTTTCTTTCATCATTCTTTCCTTCCTTCATTCTTGCCTTCATTCCTTTATTCCTTCATTCATTCTTTCCTTGATTCCTTCATTGATTTTTTCCTTTCTTCATTCTTTCCTTCATTCCTTCATCCATTCTTTCCTTCATTCTTATTCCCTACATTCCTTCATTTCTTCTTTCTTTCATTTACTCCTTTTTCCTACATTCCTTTTTAATACATTCAATCTTTCCTTCATTCTTTTTTCTTCTTCCCTTCATTCGTTCATTCTTTCTTTCCTTCATTCATTCTTTATTTCATTCATTCTATCCTTCATTCCTCCTTTTCTTCATTCCTTCATTCATTCTTTCCTTCGAAAGTTAGTGATCAGCAAGAAACATGACATCTACACGGGATGTCAGACCACTTTTAGACAAATATCAAAAACGAATTTCCGACTGACTGTGTGTGTGTGTGTATGTGTGTGGGTGTGTGTGGAGGTGCGTATTAAATAAAAGTAAATACTTTTAACTATTTACAGTGAATTTCGTTACTTGCGGAACCTCAAGGCAAATGCAGAAGTTTATTAAGAAACCAGTAATTACACACTTTATGAGGACAGAAAGCAGGCATATTAATGCAAGAAAAATTGAATAAAACTCTTAAATGTAGTATCTTGTCAATCGTCTTTACTTAAACATGTATAAATGTGGGATTGCTGGCCAAATACCCAATTATATATATATATATATATATATATATATATATATATATATATATATATATAGATAGATAGATAGATAGATAGATAGATAGATAGATATAAATTGAAGGAGAGAAGGTCAGAATGGGAAAAGAAGGCCATCTGACCGAATGGCTATCAATTTAGTTGACGGAATCTTGACCACGACATTGTCTCTTGGGTATCTTGAGGAGAAATGAGTCGATAGGCGAATAGATGGACAATTCACTCTGTAAAATGAATTTTCCTGGTCAGCAGTAAAATTGCTGCTGTGTCTATTGTTGGCCTTGAGAGGGAACCTAGTAAACTGGAAACAGATAGCATTACATTACCTTTCAGTTTGAAATAGACGGACTAAAACTATCATTTTTTGGAGACAATTCCACCTTGGAAATTCTCATTTCAAACAAACCTTTTATTGACTATTCTGGAAATTTAAACCCACCTCTGTTAGTATTTTTGACAAAGCATATCATTAATAAAATTATTTAAGAAATTATAAAAGAATGAGAAATACATTTTTTAGTACCATTTTTTATTCAACACCCTCTGTTTATTTGAAATCAATGTATAAAAATTGACTTCAGTTTCTGCTCTGATTATTGTGATTTTGTAATATATTTGTATGTAGTTTTTTCCTCAGTTTCTTCTTTAAATAATTTTATAATTTTTTAAGATTATTACAAATTAAACTTAAAATTTAAAATTAGCAATTTTTAATTTTTAATTTCATAGTAAAATTTAATTAGTTAGAATTAATTCTATTTTAGTCTAACCCTAACAATAAAACATTAATTAATTATTATAACTAAGGTTCGTTGCCAAGTTTTTTGAATTCTCATATACTTATATTCTAATTGGCCATTCAAGCTTATGTACCAGCGTTTCCCCTAGCGAGGGGTGTTTGATTGATTTGAACCTTTTAAAACCCTTTATTCTACATTCAACATAATCTCTTGATAAGCCACCAGAAGTGTTGAAACAAAATAGTTATTTTTGTAGTGATTTTATAACATATTTATGTTATAATTTTCGAATAAATAATTATATTTGCCCTACCCTGTACTGAGCACTTTTTTAAGAATAGTATTTTTTGGTTATTGGAATTTATT